GGGGCTCTATGCCCGCCTCTTCGACTTCCTGGTGGAGGCGAGTGCGACCAGGGCCAGGGCTGTCGGGTGGCCTCGGACCGGCCAGGCGGGGGCCGTCCTCCTACCACCAGTTCGTCCTGGCCGGGACTGGGGGCGGCACATGGGCGGCGGCAGATCCGGGAAAGACAGGGAGGGGTCCGGGCGACCAGCCCTGTCTTAGTTCCCTCCTTGTCTTGACGGGAAGGAGAGGTTCATTTTGGCTCACGTGTCAGTCTGTAGTTGGCTGGCTCCAAGGCAAGACCCACGACAGAGAGATGCTCTGGGTTTGCTGGACCGGAAGTACAGCGTGGGGGGAGGAGCCATGGAGGGAGGGGAAAACCCTTCCAGGTCACGCCCCCAGTGACACCTCTTCCAATCAGATCTCACCTCCTAAGAGCACGTCAGCGCTAAACCCCCCTAATCCAATCACCTTTCAGAGAACCCGGCCAATGAGCACATGAGGCTTTTGGGACACCCAGAGAGCAACCATAGCAGGGATGGATAGGCAGACACATTTGAGAGCCACGTGGAAGGTTGTCAAGGAGACCATGTGATGGATGATGGGATGGGGCTGGAGGAGAACTGGATGTGTCAGGGCCAAGAGTAACCACAACAGCAACAAGTCTTGTGTAGCCCTCAGTGTGCGAGGACCTAAGTGTTTTTATGTGTGTCACCTTCTCGCATCCTCAGAAAAAGCTTTATGGGGAACAGGTTGAGCGCCCCTAATCTGAAACTCTCAAATCTGAGATGCTCCAAAATCCAAAACTTTTGGGCACCCACAGGACACCGCAAGTGGAAAATTCCAACCCTGACCTCACAGGCAGGGGTCAAAATCAAAATGTAGATACATACTGGGTGCAGTGGTGCATGCCTGTCACCCCAGCAGTCCGGGAGGCTGAGGCAGGGGGATCCCAAGTCCAAGCCTAGCCTGAGCAACTCAGCAATTCAGCAAGACCCTGTCTCAAAATTTTAAAAACTTCTTAAAAGCACTGGAAAATATAGCTCGATGTGAAGGTTTTGAGTTCAATCCCCAGTACCTGGGGGAAAAAACAGGTGCATTCAAATAGTATGTAAAATGACCTTGGGATATAGCAAAAAAAAAAAATTTTTTTTTTTGTACCGGGGATTGAACTCAGGTCTTTGCACTTGCAAGGCAGGCCACCAAACTGCTGAGCTAAATCCCCTGCCCGGGATATAGCAAATATTACTAAATGTTGAGTCTAGGTCGTAATAAAATAAAATGACCTTTGGATTATGTGCATAATTCGTGTATGTGCCACGAATAAATTCTGGCTTTGAACTGCGTTCCATCCCGATATGTATCTATCAATCTACCCAAATATTCACAAATCCAACACCTGAAATATTTTTGGTTACAAGTGTTTCTAATGAAGGAAACTCAGGGCTGGTGGTGTAACTCAGGAGTAGAGCATTTGGTAACCTAAGAAAGGCCCTGGGTTCCATCCCTAGCACCAACCCTCCAAACTTCTGATAAGGGATCCTCAACCTGTAGCTGCTTATTTAATTAGTTGTTTTTGCTGTGTTGCTAGAGGCGGAACCCAGAGCCTCCTGGGTCTAGACAAAAGGTCCACCCCAGAGCCACACTCCCAGTCCAGCCTGTGCTGTTCTTCACCCATTTTAGAGATAAGAAAATAGAGGCACAGTCAGGTTAAATGGCAAAGCTGGTTCCTGAGTCCCCAGCACTCTGACACTTGGGTTTTCATTTCGTTTTGTTTTGCTTTTCTTTTTTACCTGAGTTTCTTTTCTGGGTGGCTGATGGGAAGGTGGAGGGACTGGACTCAGGGCAAGAAAGAAACTGGTAAGAGGAGACACACCTCATCAATTTGGCTAAGAGCCTATCAAGAGGGGCTGGGTGCCATGACCACATCTGTAAACCCAGCTGCTTTGGGAGGCTGAGGCAGGAGGATCCCAAGTTCAAGGCCAGGCTGGGCAACTTAGTGAGACGTTGTCTCGAACTTTTAAGGATAAATGAAGAGGGTGGAGCATTTGCCTAGCATGAGTGAAGCCCCAGGTTCCACCCACAGCACCGAGAGACGGAGAGGTGTCTTGGGTGTGACCTGATGTCCCCCCCACCCCGCAGGCCATCAACCGTGCGATGCAGAAGCCCCTGGAGGAGTACAGCATTGGAGTGCTTGATATCTACGGCTTCGAGATCTTCCAGGTCCGGTCACTGCGCCCCAGCCCCAACCCATATTCTGTCCTCCTGCAACCTCGAGGCAGCCCAGTCGCTACCCAGGCCTCTAGCACTGGCATACTAACTGGGACCTTTCCTCCCTCGGCAGAAAAACGGCTTTGAGCAATTCTGCATCAACTTCGTTAATGAAAAGCTGCAGCAGATCTTCATCGAGCTCACGCTGAAAGCCGAGCAGGTGGGCAGGGCCCTGGGGGTGGGCTCAGGGGTTACTGAGCCACAGGGACAAGCCAGCATCCTGTTCCCACGTGGCTCTGCTTTCCCCACTGTTACCCAGATTGCCATCACTGTCATGAAATGCCAAGGTGAGAAGTGATCCGCTTATAAAGTTAAAAGGTTTAATTAGACTTTGGAGACTGGGGTCCAAGATCAAGCGGACTCATGGCTTCAGGCCTCTGGGGGTGCCAGGTGGCAATGGCGGGGAGCACAAGAGTAGGCAGAATGCCCACTTCACCGCAGGGAGGTGGGAGAGAAGAGGTGAAGGGGGAGGAGGAAGAGAAGGGGGAGGGGCCAGAGCCATCCAATCCCCTGCAAGGCCACACCCCAATGACCTAACATGCTCCCACTAGGCCCCACCTCCACCACCTCCCGACAGCGCCACCTTGGGGACCAAACCCTCCATGCGCAGACCCTCGGGACACACGCAGAGCCCCAACTAGCACCTGCCCAGACTCCATTGCAAAATTTCCCTCCACCTGTGAATCCTGGACAGTGCTGGTCAATAGCCTCCAGGATCATTCATTCAACAGTGACTGAGTGTCGTGGAAGGAACCTGTTGTTCTGGCTACTTAGGAAGCTGAAGCAGGAGGGTTAGTCAGACCCATGATTTTGAGTTTGGGCAACATAGACCCATCTCAAAAGAAAAAATAAAATTTAGAGCCAGGCGTGGTGGTGAAGACAGACAGAATACTATGCTGAGACCTGGGGTGTAGCTCAGCGGTAGGTAGAGCACTTTCCTGGCGGACATGATGGGTTGGATCCCCAGCACTGTCCCCCCCCATAAAAAATCCCTGCCGATTTTATTCCGCCCCTCCCCCGGACAGAGCCCTCAGCCAGGCTTCAGAAGACAATGGCTTCCCTAGGAGGTGACTGCAAGAGGGCCCCAAAAGGGTAGTGAGGCTGGGAGCCAGATCTAAATGCATTTATCAAGAGCTGAAATAAAGGCACTAGGGCGTTTACCCGCCGGCTGCTGTTGGCTGTGGTCAAAGGACCGGAAATGGGGAAGCAGCCCCGGCTAAACTCCTGCCCTCTCCACCCGCAGGAGGAGTACGTACAGGAGGGCATCCGCTGGACACCCATTGAGTACTTCAACAACAAAGTCGTCTGCGACCTCATCGAAAACAAGCTGGTGAGGGCTGGGCCACCTTGGGGTGGGGGGGTCTCGCTGGATCTGCGCCTGGGGGCGTTTTGGAGTGGGCTGCGCCACCTGAGGGGCCCTCGCTTTACCCTAGGCCCAAGGCCTACAGCACAGCGAGCGCAGCTGAAATATCCCTTCAGCCACCTTAGCCTTTCGATTCTACCCTCTGGCTTGTTTTTCGTTTATTCGGTCAACAAACATTCCCCTGCTCAGGGTCACAGAGGACAAACTTAACAAGTCTCCCACCATGAAGTCTCTGGAAGGGAGAGAGGAATGGGCTCCTTACAGGTGGCCCCACCCCCTCCTGCTCCCTAGGGAGTTTCCACAGCAGCTGCTCCCTCATAACCAGGCCCCCTGCCACCATTGCTTTTTTTGTTTTTTCGTTCTGTTTTGTTTTGTTTGGCGGGGGCGGGTTGTTGGTCGGTTGGTTGGTTGGTTTTTCTTCTGTTTTTGTTTTAGTCCAGGCTGGCCTGGAGCTCTCTGTGTAGCCCAGGCTGACCCGGAACTGGAGCGATCCTCCTGCCTCAGCCTCCTGAGTGCTAACGTGACAGGCCTCTAACCTATCACCACTCTTGGGGAAGCCCCCCTACCGCCCGCCGTTCTTTAACCTCTTCCCTCCCTGGAGTCGGTGCTGGCCAGCGTGACGGGGCCCCCATCTGCTGACCCCGCACCTGGGCTCACCCCGCAGAGCCCACCCGGCAT